TTTTTTGAGAGGAATATATGTTGATGTATTGGGATCAAATGAACCAACTATTTATAGCAATTAACGGAAAGGATTAAGTTAGATTTGCAACATTAATTTGCATGTGCGGAAGAAAAATATTGTTGTCCAGAAAACTTCAATGCCGAGAACTTCCTTTGCCGATCAAAATAAAAAAACAAATAAGTAAGAAGAAAACTAGGAGGATCGAAAAAGAAACGCAATTTCATACTAGCTGTAAGACGCAACAAGAGTCCAACGTAGGAAAAGTCCGACTATAAAAACTAGCCCGCAGAAGTTGGCAAATTTATGACGAGAAAAAAACAAAATATGAAGCATCATATAAGTGTATCACCTTCTCGTCATGTAACTTTTTTTTACTAATTTCTTAATATATTGAAATCACACTAAATTTTATTTAATTTAGAAGTTTAATCATATAAAATTTTATTTAAAAAATTTTTAAATATATGTCCTTTTATTTATAAAGTTTAAATTTAAAATTTTATTTTAAAAAAATTAAATTTTTTTATTTAAATCAATAAATTATTTTTTTTTATCAACCAAAAAAAATTTAATTTAATTTAACAAAGCACAAGGAGTGCTCTTGCTCATATACAAAAAATGAAAACCACAACAGAGGAGAGCCAGTCTCCTAAAAACCAGAGATTGACAAAGCTTACATATCACAAACAAAAAGCGTAGGTGCTCAAATACTCCACATTTGAAGACAAAACATCCCCGCCTGTCCATCAACTAGAGGGCACGCGAGCTTTATAGAACTGCTTCCTCAATTTATAAATCAATAAATTATTAATATCACGTAACTCTTTCTTGATTTAAAGAAAAAGGCCCTAGTGTTTTGTATGGAGGTTGTCTGAGTTTCCATTTGTATTTCTTAACCCTTTTGCGGGTAAAGGTGGAATGGAGGGGATCATTTATGCGTTTTGTTTTCTGTTGAAATTTCTTGATAGTTGTGAACAAAATTTTTACTGGAATGTGATTCTCCACATTCGTAAAAATGAATAAATTTGATGAAATTATACTCGCATGCCGAGACCGCAATAATGAGAAGTCCAACAGAGTTGACGTAGATGACTGAGTCGATATAATTAAGTTGTTTTTTAAATAAATTGTGCATATTTAAAAATTAATTAATTTAAACAATTTTAAGGTCAGATACACTAGTTTGATGTAATAATTTTTTTTAAGTGTTAGTAGTAATTTTAAAAATTGAACCATATATCTAATTTATATAATAATATTTAATTATTAATAAATTTAATATTTTTTTCTTGCCATTATATAATCCAACAACCTTAAAATCGTGTAATAATATTATTATTTGATTGTCATTCACAACCTTTTGCATCCATCCAGGTGCTGTGCTGCTGCAATACTGAATATTCATATTTCATACTCTAGCTGTAGCCACTGGGTTTGAACTTTTCTTTTTCCATTTTTATCTTTGATTTTTATGACTTCTCACATTGAAAGCCAACATCCATTTTGTCAATTACATAAAACACGTTTATCACTATTATACGTACAATACTTTTCTAAGATATATATATATATATATATATACTTTTCTAAGTTTAAAAGAAAATTATTTACTTACCACTTTGAATTTTTCAAAGTTTGACCCTGTTAACTTAAGAATTTCAGTCTGACTAGAGTTTGAAACTTTGAATAGCAGGTTTATGCGCAAATAAATCAATTAATTCAAAATTAAATATATTTATTAAAAAATTATTTTTTAAAATTAAAATTAAATAAATTTAAAAATATAAATTTTAATAATTAAATTAATAAATATTAATAAATATACTAAATTAACAAATATTATAAATATATTAAATTAAAAAATATATCAATTATTTTCCTTCAAATGAAATTCTTGATTTATCTCACATAAAATACCTCACTAATGTCTGTTTAGTTTAAAAAACGAGGAGTGAAAGAAAGAAAAGAAAATTTTATTATAACAATTTAAATTATTTCATTAGTACATCTATTTAATTTAATTAGTTAAAACAAACCCCTTCCCGTCCCTACCCTCCCCTTCTCTTTCCTTCTGATAAGGACAAAATCGACGAAAAAAATTTCTTGATTCCTCGCACGGGCCGCTTTGTTTTTGCACAACAAAAGGATTATATATATAATTTAAATAAAAAGTACAAAAGTACTTTAACCCGTTACAAAATATTAACTATTCCAACGACATTAAAGCAAGATACTGAAACAAGATAAAAACATATAAAATATTCAATGAACTCACTCACGTCTAGCCACCACCCATTTCCGCACGGGCCGCCTTTGAAAATTCAATCACAATTCATCCGAAGTTTGACTCTTGACCAAAAGATATTGGAACTTATATGAACTAAGTGATTGCACAAAAACGAGATAAATATCTTGTTTAAAAAGAAAATGAAATTCCATG